GTCTCTGTTAATGTGGGCAGCAAGAATGTTAGAATCCAATATTAATGCAAGGGTCCTCTGATGTCTGGTGTGGCCCCTCAGTTCACAGGGGAAAACCCCAAACCTGGAATTGAATTGGTTCATTCACATGCTATTTACATTTTATTTATTTATTTTTAAGTAATCTCCACACCTAGTGTGGGGCTGGAACTCATGACCCCAAGACCAAGAATCGCACTCTTCTTACTGAGCCAGCCAGGTGCTCTGCATATTGATGGAGACTAATATAGGCAGGCTGCATTGCTCCCAGGGATGCAGTAGGGAGCAAAGCTCATGCATCCCCCCTACCTTCTGGGGGCTTTACAGTTTGGTGGGAGGGAGGGACATTAAACTCTTAGCTAATATACGATCATTAAGTGGGGTTCTGGCCATCCCATCCAAACCAAGGGGATGAGCTGGGCCTTTGGACCTTGGCCTGCTCCCTGGCTCTTCTCATCCAAGGCCCCTCCCCTCCCTTGGGCTGCCTGGGGAGCCACCAGGCTCTTCTTGGGGCTCAGGGGCATCACCCAATCCACAAGCACCCCCAGGCAGGACAGAAGTAATAGGATTTTAATTCTATTAAAAAGACAGATGCTCTGGGGGCGGCTGGGTGGCTCAGTCATTAAGCATCTGACTTCGGCTCAGGTCATGATCCCAGGGTCCTGGGATTGAGCCCCGCATCGGGCTCCCTGCTCAGCGGGAAGCCTGCTTCTCTCTCTCCCTCTCCCACTCCCCCTGCTTGTGTTCCTTCTCTCGCTGTGTCTCTCTCTGTCAAAAAAATAAATAAAATCTTTAAAAAAAAAAAAAAGAAGACATGCCCTGGAGCTCCCTGAGTGCTGGCCATGTTCTCCGCACAGTGTGAGGTGTCTTGGCGGCCACTGGAGGGCCACACTCCCAGGTTTAAGAGGTCTGACTTCACGCCACTTTTACGTATTTCATTAACCTCCTGGGGCACATCTCTGAAATCTGCGTATCTTACATCCCTGTTGGCACATGGCACCGGGGATGTCATTTTCCTTCTCATGGCTGAACCATCCAAAGTAGCTGAAATGCCAGATCTTTAACCGAAAAGCCGCAGAAAGTGTTGCAAACGTTATCATGTTTCCGCCACTGTGGGGGTGGGTTGTAGCATATCTAAACCCAAACCCCTTTGCTTAGGCGGGAAAACTGGACTTCCACCCTAACCTTGTACCAAACTGCCACACCCAGGAAGGGCGTGGTCCTCTAGACTGAGCCAAAACGTCCAGTGGCCTCAACTCGGCCCTTGCCAGAGACTCCACCAAAGGTTCACCCCAAAATTTGCTGTGTCTGCTCATCTCTTCTGGGAAGTGTGAGATGAAATAGATACTCTCGTTGGATGTTTTGTTGGATGATACCTTATTCTTCAGAAAAAGCTGTCATTCCTCTGCTTCCCCACGGGGACCTTGACCGTCCCTTCTGTCAGAGAGCTCACCCTGTACCCGCCCTTGGCACCAGTGGCCACGACTCTCTAGCTGGCAGGTCCTGCTTTTCTTCTCAGAAACGGAGACTTGACCTCCTCGTTTCTCTCCAGACCCTTAAGGCCTTCCCATCCTCAGGGAAATGGCTTGCTTTAATAATTATCCATGTTTAAACATTTAGTCCACTGCCAGTCTACTAAGAGACTGCTAAGGAGCTAGCACAGTTTGAACCCGAGGCTTCAGGGTGTGTGTGTTATTGGGCTGATTCCCATCTATTTGCATCTGCTGAGGCACCTCCTCCCTTGCACTTTCAAACCATGGTCCAAATTCTACATGAAATCAATCTAGTGGAGGGCACCAGCGGTTCTTAAAAATGAAAGAGAACCAAATGGAAAATAACGGAGTACATGGCACGTTGCAAATATAAAAACTGTTTAGAGAGATTTCTTTTTATGCTTTCTATGTGTAGGTTGGTGTGTCCTCTGGGGCACCCTGGAAAATGTGACACTGGGTTTGAAGTGAAGAAAGTTCAGAATCGCTGACTTAAAAGGATGCCTGATTTTGCTTGTGCGGACCACAGCTTCTGGTGTCAGCGCAAATCTCAGTCCTTTGGGGCCCGGGGCACTCCTAATCTGAGTCGTGCCATCCCCTGCCTTGGCACTCCGCACTGACCACCCCTTCCCTCCCCCAGCCCCTCAGCCGGCCGCCTCTGCTCCGTCCAGGTTTCTTATCTGGGCCTCCTCCTTTGCCTTCATCACCTCCTACCTCCCCACTCTCTTTCTTTAGGCCCAGCGAATGTCTCCCGGTTCTGCTGTTCCCCTCCCGCGGAAACGTGCCTGCCCTCGGTCATCTGCCCCGCTGCCCGACGCGTGCGCTCCCGCGCGCGAGCATTCAGGAACAGCCACATCTCCAGTTGGATGATGATGGCCCAAGGCACCTGACCCGCTGCAGCTGACCCGGCAGGCCACTCCCTCCTCCGGGAATATTCCGCAAGACAGAAACATCAAGTCCTCCACCCTCTTTCTCATCCCCCCACATCCATTCCCGCAGGCAAAAGCTACAGAGTTGACCTGAAAACGCACCCCCTCCCCACGTGGCTGTCACGGGCTGCTAACCAGGCTCCCAGCTCGTCCTCTGCACAGGGCAGCCAGGAAAAACTTTCGAAATTTGGATGTGATCATTTCGCTCCCCTGCTTAAAGGTCCCCTCTCCTAGAATCCAGCTCCTCGCCGCACACCCTCGGGGACGACCTCCGGGGCCTTGCCCGCGGTAAGCAGGTCCGCAGGCGTGCACCTAAGCGGACGCTGACCCCGCCCCCGAGCGGCGCAAGCATCCGCAGCCGCGAGCCCGAGCAGGGGTGCGCGCGCAGGGGGCGTGGGCGGGGCCTCTGGAGAGGAAGCCCGGGCGGGGGCGGAGCGCGGCGCCCGATCGCACGTTTCCGGCCCGGCCGCGTCTCCGTCGTCGCGGCGGAGGCGGGACTTCCGGCGCGGCGCGGAAGCGTTGGCAGAGGCCGCGGGAGGTTGGCGGTGAGCTGATGCAGGCGGCGCGGCACGTCGTGGTCGCCCTGTCCGGCGGGGTGGACAGCGCCGTGGCCGCGCTACTGCTGAGGCGGAGAGGTGAGCGACCCCTTCTCGGGGACTACGGCCGTGCCCGGCTCCCCACGCAGTGGAGGGGGGCATCCCCGACTCTGGGGGCCCCGAGGCCCTCTGACCGGGGTGACGGCGGCGGGGTCTGCGCTGACCCCGGGGACGGTCCTGGTCCTGCCGGGGCCCGTGCGGCCGAAATGCCCACGGAACGTCCGTGCGCTCCGTTCCCGGATGACGCCCCTGTGCCGGAGCGCCAGCGTGCGTTCCAGGGGTCTGGAGAGTGCCTGCGGTCGAGAGCGGAGCTGAGCTCCGTTCTCCACGTGCGTGGTCGCTTCTCCTTGTGAGGCCGCCTCCACGGGGTGACGTGTGCACCCTCCGCTGTGAACACCTGGGACGCAGGGGCGGATGAGAGGTTCCTGAGTTAGTTCAGCTCTCCTCGGTCAAGTGGAGGGAACGCCTACCTCGCTGGGTTACTGGAAGGCTTAGCTGACACGAGCCTGCACAAGCTTTCATTCAACCCTCTGTCCCGGTGCCCAGCACATACTAGGCCCTCCGAAAACAGTGGTTATTAGCTTCTAAATAGAAATGTAGGCACACGGGGTGCCTGAGTGGCTCAGTCGGTTGAGCCTCCGACTCTTGATTCCCTCTGGGGTCATGATCTCAGGGTCTTAGGATAGAGCCCGGCGAGGGCTCCGCACTCATCGGGGAGTCGGCTTGGGATTCTGTCTCTCCCTCCCTTCCTCCCCACCCACTCATGCGCGTGCGTGTGTGCGCCCTCACTCTCTCAAATCTTTTTAAAAAATGTAGGCACGCTAAGCATCTGTACTTGAGAACGGAGAATCAGAGCATCACAGAGGGTCATGGTGTTTAAGGTGAGACTTGAAGGAAGAGTAGGATTTCACTAAGCAGAGAATTGGCGTGAACTGTGGAGGAAAGTGCTCCTGGCAGAGTCAGCAGCTCGAGCAAAAGGTCAGAGGCATACAAGTGTTGGCTGGGTTTGGACAGAAGGAGGTGGCTGGAGAAAGGAGAAAACAGTGATTATGGAAGGTGTTATTTTAGGGACTTTAGACTATGTTTAGACTGTGCAGAGCCCTTGAAGATTCCTGATGAGGTGTGTGACATGTCTTGAGAGATGTGGCAGACTAGCCGTGGGCAGACCAGGTATTCTACGTTTACTCTACAGGAAGGTCAGCTGTCCCTTTTCCCCAGGACCCAGACGACCACTCCGTATTCCAGCCTTCCCTGGGGTTTTCTCCTCAGTGGGAGAAGCTGATGGACGTAGCAAAGGAAAAGCGTGGTCCTCTCCTTGGCATCACGGGCTTCCCTATTCTTGTTGGAGGTGCAGGTCCTATCCTGTGCCCCCTGGAAAGTTCAGGTCCCATCCTGGAGTGCCTGACCCTGTGCGCATAAGTGGGTCCATCTCCATGACAAGAAGGCTGAAGTTATAGAAGAGGAGATTTTTAAAGCTGTGTGTGGGGTTGTCTCTTCTTTTTTTAAAGATTTTATTTATTTATTTGACAGAGACACAGGGAGAGAGGGAACACAAGCAGGGGGAGTGGGAGAGGGAGAAGCAGGCTCCCCGCAGAGCAGGGAGCCCGATGCGGGGCTCGATCCCAGGACCCTGAGATCATGACCTGAGCCGAAAGGCAGACGCTTAACGACTGAGCCACTCAGGCGCCCCTGGGGTTGTCTCTTCTACAAGGACCTTTTTAGCTCCTGTTCTGTGCAGGGCACTGGGACAGAGGGTTGAATGAGGTGTAGTCCCTGCTCTCTGAAGAAGTCCACGCTGTCGTGAATTGCTGAAGGGGGCAGACTGGAACACCAAGCCCAGCAGAGCCCAGTGTGGTGTGCCTGTAAGAGAAGTGGAGTGGGAGAGGGCCTGATGAACTATGGCGGAGGGGGGAGGGGGGGCGTGGTAGAGCTTTGACTTTGCATCTCTGTTCTTTGGAGTACTCTATTAAACCTCTTTAAAAAAAAAAAACAAAACCTCTTAGTTACTGCTTTTCCTTTGCTAAGTCCATCAGCTTCTCCCACTGAGGAGGAAACCCCAGGGAAGGCTGGAATACGGAGTGGTCGTCTGGGTCCTGGGGAAAAGGGACAGCTGACCTTCCTGTAGAGTAAACGTAGAATACCTGGTCTGCCCACGGCTAGTCTGCCACATCTCTCAAGACATGTCACACACCTCATCAGGAACCTTCAAGGGCTCTGCACAGTCTAAACATAGTCTAAAGTCCCTAAAATAACAAAAAATGCTTTTGTTACATTGAGCCTACCCACTAAGAAACATTTCTCAAACACTTTTCCCACAGCGTAGGCACCTGAGTGGTGCCCTAAGATGAGGCAAAGCTAACGTTGGTCTTTCCAGTATTTGGTTGGGTACTTTGTTACAATAGAAGAGGACCAAAAAAAAGGTCATAAAATACATAGTTAGTACAGCCTTTATAATAAAATAGCCCAAATTTTAATTGTGTTCTTGTCTGATGACTTAGAGTCTAAGTTCTAGATGATAATTGGAAACAGTCTTTGAAATCAGTTTACTTTTTTGATAACTGAATGGTGGTTTTTATTTGCTTTGAAAAATGTTGAATTTCTGCTCTTCCATCATTCAGCGCTCATTTGCTGAGCCTCTACCACGTGCTAGGCATTGTGCGGACACAGGGTAGGGATACAGAGATGAAAATACACCATCTTGCTCATCTGGGGGACACAGGCCAACAGTTGCAGTCCCGCAGTGCACTGTGATGAGGGAGGCGTGTACAAGGGCTGTGGGAGTGTAGGGGAGGGAGCCTCTGGGCCAGCCAGCAAGTCAGGTGGCTTGCACTCGGATGTGAGTCACCTGGAAGGCCATGTAGCAAAGCAGGCATTGCCAGGTGAACCGGCGGATGGTGGTGCGGGAGTGGGGCGTGTCAGGGAACTGCTGGGAACTCAGCAACTGCTTTCACCCCGCGTTGATTATGGACTCCAATTCGTGTCCCCTCATTCCACCAGGCTACCAAGTGACAGGGGTGTTCATGAAGAACTGGGACATGCTGGATGAACATGGAGTTTGCACTGCTGACAGAGACTGTGAAGATGCTTATAGAGTTTGCCAGATCCTAGACATCCCCTTCCACCAAGTGTCCTATGTGAAGGAGTATTGGAATGATGTGTTCAGGTGGGTCCAGTTCAGAGACGCAGAAGGCTTCCTGATGTGCTGTACCACCTTCCCAAGGGAATGACTGCCGTAGTCGGCCGGGCCAGTGACACGTGGCGAGTGCTGTTTGGCAGTGGTGCCGGAGACCGTGTATGGGAGATCCCAGAGCACCCGGCCTCATATTTCCTTATGGTGCCACCTGCTAGAAGTCTCCTTAATGCCTTCATGAACCTGGAGTTGTTTCTGCTGCTAACTTTGGGTGAGGGAACTAAGGCTGAGGTCTTCCCTGAGAGGTGCCATGCAGGGATCCCTGTGCGGGTCAGTGACGAGGGGCTTCTGAGAAAAAGAATTAGGTGAGGCCCCCCCTCCTTGGTGCCTCATGAAAACGCAAAACACAAAGACTTTATTTTATTTTATTTTTTTTTAAAGATTTTATTTATTTATTTGAGAGAGAGAGAGAATGAGAGAGAGAGAACACATGAGAGGGGATAGGGTCAGAGGACGAATCAGACTCCCTGCCGAGCAGGGAGCCCGATGCGGGACTCGATCCAGGGACTCCAGGATCATGACCTGAGCCGAAGGCAGTCGCTTAACCAACTGAGCCACCCAGGCGCCCCCACAAAGACTTTAAAATGTAACAAATACCAACGGTGACCTTTAAGTGCTTGCTCTGTACTGGGCACAGTGCTGCATTTGGGGACACAAAGGCATATAAGCTGTGGCTCCATTCTGCAGGGGTTTGCAGCCTGGGGGGAGGAGGACATTAGCTTCAAAAGAGGTAACAGTGGTAAGCGGCATGTAAGACGTACTAGTGATTTCATTAAAATGCTGCAGGTTCAGAGGAGGGAGAAATGTGTCATATGGAGCAGTCAGGAGGGCTTCATGGAAGAGGTGAAGTTGGATCTGCTCTTGAAAATAATAGTGAGGTAGAGATTTTCTAAACAGGGTAGCAAGAGCAGTGGTGAAGAGGAGGAATGCCCATCATTTTGGGGGGGCGTTGACAGCTTTGGCTGGACTCTTGTCACTGTGGAGGAAGGCTGCTTGCTCTGGGGTGTGGGGAGCCCACCTAGGCTCTGCACGGTGGGTGTCCATCGAAGGTGCCCCGGGCAGCAGCAATGTGCACAGGTGTGGGGTAGGCGCTAGCCTCAGGAAATCCGTGGGTCCAGTCTTGATCCTGCTACTTACTGCCTTTTTTCTCATCTCTTTAATGAGGATATTGCCTCATGGGGTTATTGTAAGAATTAAATGAGTTGAGATATAAAGCTGTCAGCACTGTGCCTGGCATATTAGTAAGCAATAAATGTAGTTCTTGTGATTTGTATTATTGAAAAGAGCGATCTGGCAGCCAAGTGTAGGGTAAGTTATGGGAGAAGATTGGAGGTGGAGAACCTAGGGAGAAGCTGCTGCTAGAGGGTGGGGATGACGGGAGTGTGGAGTGGGGGTGAGGGCTGGCTGTGGCGGGCCCCAGAGGACAGGCCCATTGGCAGCAGATGTCAGGCTGAAGAGTCGGCTGGGGTGCTTGTTGAACACCCACCTGCATGGGGCCTGGGATGTCGGCCCCGGAACCTGCACTGTGACAAGCACGTCCATTCATTCTGATGGGGGATCCGCCGGGTCTTACTTTGGAAGCGGTGCCGTGGGGCTTGGTAACTGACAGGTGTAGGAGTGGGAGAAAGAGGAGTCAGGGATAGCTTCACCGTCAAATCTGGGTGGGTGGGGAAAGCTGCTTTGGGAATTCCTTTGAGTACTGCAGGGTTTAAGGTGATAGCAAGAAATCGAGGCGAATTTAAACTTCACCCTTTATTGCTAGGTTTGGAAAGTGTGTGAGCGAATATGATCTATTGAAGGTTAACTCACATTTAACTGAGGCCAGGCAGGCTCTGTCCAGTCTGCCCTCTGCCCTAGTTTCATCCTGGTTGCCTGTGGGGATGGTTGTGTTTGTGCTTTTTGTTCTGAATGCTCACCGCTCTGTTTTTGTTTTGTTTTTGTTTTAACATTTTATTTATTTTAGAGCACGAGGTGTGGGGAAGGGCAAAGGGAGAGGGAGAAGCAGACTCCCCGCTGAGCAGGGAGCCCGATAGGGAGCTTGATCCCAGGACCCTGAGATCATGACCTGAGCTGAAAGCAGACACTTTACCGACTGAGCCACCCAGGAGCCCCTGAATGCTCACCGCTCTGATAGCACTTTCTAGCTCCGAGATTTCTTCTGAATTCTTTTGTTCAAGGCCCATTTGGCCTTCAAGGGTCAGAGTGCAGATGTTCTTTCTGCTTGCCGTCTCCCTCCTGGGGTGCAGATGGGATTTGTCCCCTCACCGAACAGGCTGTGCTCCGTGGTTTTTGCTGATGCCACTGATCTGTCTTCATTAAGCCGTCTGGGAAATGGTTGACATGATTTTCATAAGCCAGTGGAAACGTTCAACCTCTTTAACATTCATTCAGTACTTGTTATATAGAAAACGTTCTAGGGGCTGTGGACACACAGAAAGAGTAAAGCAAGAGTTTAATGAAACTCTTGACAATTTTCTAACAGTTAAAAAGTTGAAATATGGAGTAACACAATTGTTCTCCCTTCCTGAGGAGACCAAGAGGTGGTAGGAGCAGTTTGGCATTGCCTGCTGGATTTAAAGATACATGTGTGACCTATGACCCTGTGCCGATTCTTGGTCTGCCTTCATAATGTGACCCTCTTGGTCAGCGTTGTTCTTTGTAACCGTTGTAGAGCTTTAGGTTCAATGAAGAATGATCACAGATACTCAGAATACACCCTGTAACTTTTTTCTTTTTTAAAGATTTTATTTTGAAGTGATCTCTACATCCACTCAAAGCTCAAACCCATTACCCCGAGATCGAGAGTCGCATGCTTCTCCAACTTTAATACTTTAAACTCCCCTTTAATACTCACTTTAAACTCCTGGAACAGTCATCATAATCCTCCTAAAGTGAATACTCTGAGACCATGAACTTCTTGCCTAACCATCCTTCTCCTGTGTCCAGTCAGCCAGCCCGTTAGAGCAGAGTTGGGTCAGCTAGGCTGCCTGACGCCCTGAAAACCTCCGGACGTTGCTGGTCCTTAGACGTGTGGGAGCCACATTAGAAAAGTATCAGTACCAGTCCTGGTACATTTATTCGCCCAGTGACCTGGGTCCCCAGGCTGGGACTGTGGAATTGCTAATAGAACCCCAGAATGGTGGCTCAGGATCATAGGGTTCCTGCTATGGCTCCCGCATGTTCTTCACCCAAGCCTTCCTCTGTTGGTGGAGTTAGGGGAAGCTGGAGTTGAGTGAGTCCATCCCATCCCTTCCCCGCACACCCTGTGAGCCTCTGGGGAGCCGGAACGGCTGCGGAGCCGGAATGGCAGGCGATACCTGGCTTTCTGTCCGGCTTTGTCCGTTATCAGAGATTCAGATGGAAAGTGCGGTTGGCTTTACACTAATGCTTGAAAACACTGACATGGCTGTCTAATGAAGCTCCCCCGTTTTATAGAAGATTGTAGCTCTGGTAAGACGGGGAGAAGCTAACTTCAAGTAATTTAACCGATTTATTTTTAAAGATTTTATTTATTTGAGGGGTGCCTGGGTGGCTCAGTCATTAAGCGTCTGCCTTCAGCTCAGGTCATGATCCCAGGGTCCTGGGATAGAGCCCTGCATTGGGCTCCCTGCTCCGCAGAAGCCTGCTTCTCCCTCTCCCACTCCCGCTGCTTGTGTTCCCTCTCTCGCTGTGTCTCTCTGCCAAATAAATAAAATCTTTAAAAAAAGAAAAAGATTTTATTTATTTGAGAGAAAGAACGTGAGCTCAAGCTGGGTGGGGGGAGGGGCAAAGGGGGAGAGAGAGAGAGAATCTCAAGCAGACTCCATGCCAAGCGCAGAGTCGGACACGGGGCTCAATCCCACAACCCCGAGATCAGGAACTGAGCTGAAATCCAGAGCTAGACACTCAACTGGCTGAGCCACCCAGGTGCCCCTACGGATTTATTTTTTTGAGGAATGTCTCACACTTAGGAATGAAAATCTTTTTCTTCTATTCCAGTGATTTTTTAAGTGAATATGAAAAAGGAAGGACTCCCAATCCTGACATAGTCTGCAACAAGCACATCAAGTTCAGTTGTTTTTTCCATTATGCTGTGGATAATCTCGGTAAGTCATTTTGTTATTTCCATTTAATCTTTTTAAAATCATAAGGTTTTCAGAGGTAGCCAGGAGCCAAATGCTGGTGAACGGTTTTATCTTCAGAAGGAAAAGAAGCAGTGAAAACGATCATATTCTGTATTTTCCTCAGTAAGAAAGAATTTTCTGGCAATATGCAAATGACAGGGTCACAGGGAGGAGGGAGTGTTTCCTCATCGTGGACCTCCCAGGTGTGGGGACCGTGCTGTGGGTTCAGGAGCACCAAGTTCAGAACGTCCTGAGGAAACAAAGGGATCACGGGCAGAGAGCCCAAAGTGGGGCCACCAGGGCTTGCCTGCAGATCCAGCTTTGCCCAGAGCAGCTCCGTTTCCTGGCAGAGTTATATTTAGCGGAAGTTTCATGAGCCCTATTTAGAGCTCAGGAAAGTCGGCATTCGGTTTCTTGCTAGTCCTCCTTTTTGCTAGTCCTGGTGAGACTTTTTATGTTGCTTCCCAAGGTGACTTTCTGCTCTGCCCCGAGAACAGGTCTGGGTCTATACTTGATTCTGGATTCTGGGCCTCTCTTTCCCAGGATTTGAAGCCATGGTTTAGTGGCCTGTTCTTTTTCTTTTTATTTTTTTTAAAGATTTTATTTATTTGAGAGCGAGAAAGCACGAGTGGGGGTGAGGGGCAGAGCAAGAGGGAGAAGCAGGCTTCCTGCCGATCAAGGAGCTGGATGTCGGGCTCATTCCCAGGACCCTGAGATCAGGACCTGAGCAGAAGGCAGACGCTTCACTGGCTGAGCACCCCCCACCCCCGGTGCCCCTAGTGGTCTGTTCTCAAAGCCCATCGAGGCCCTGCTCCGTACTGATAGCTGCCTGCAGATTTTGTCTGTCCTGCTGGTTCTCCTCTCTCCTCTCCGTCTGCCTGCTGGGGCATCCCTATGCTTGGTGGGGCTCCCTGACACTGCCTCGCTCGCCGCGGCCACTCCCGTGCCCTGCCCTCGCAGCAGTTCCCGATTCTGGCCTTTCCGTTGCTTCTGTCCCGTGCGGCTCACCCTGCCGTGTCTGGCCACGTGCCCAGACACGTTAGTGCGACCGTCCTGTGCCAGTGGTCCGGTGGCGTCCCAGGACTGTCGGCTGCTCTGTCCGGTCAGCTCTGCCGCAGCGATGGAGGCGGGCCCCCACGAGGCCTGCAGACCCCGTGCACAAGGGCCCTGCCACTGGGGAGGGGACACGCTGGGTCACAGGCCACATTGACACCTGCCAGACGAAGGCTCCAGAAGTCTGGGTGCATTTGAATGACTGACCCCAGAACTGAGCATCGGTAGAGGTCATACTCCGAGGGAGGTCATACTCCGAGCTGGGGAGCAGATCTGGGGCTCCAGCTGCCTGCGGTCTGGCATGACCTGGTGTTCGGGGGTGTCAGGAAGGAAAGGCACCTGCCCTGCTCTGCTCTGGGGGGCCACGTCTGGGGGGCTTACACTTAGCCCCCGTTTATTCAGGAAGGGAGTGACAGGCTCATGGCTTGGGCAGTGACTTTGGTTTTGGGTGTTAGGAGACAGGACCTCGGATGAGCCGAGCAGTTACCGGGGGTCCTCGTGCCCGGCGAGTGGCCTCCTTTGCGTGCCTGCCATGCAGGGCAGAGCCTGGCTGTGCAGGAGGAGGACCGCACTTGGGAGGGGCGCAGCCAGCTCTGCGGGAGGGGGTGACACCTCCCTCTGGAGAGAGTGGGGCTCCCAGTTGCCTTAACTTCTCAGGGAGCCAGCCCTAGGTGGCCGTCTGTCGGGGTCGCTTCGGAAGGAGTTTGTACAGGGAGTGTCTCCACGTCTGAATTCCCGCGTGAGCAGTGCAGCACAGAGGGAAAGTACGTGAAACCTAGACTCTGAGATCTTGGGGCTTCTCCCAGAGGGACTCGATGCTTGGCAGTGTAAGTGGTCGTTCTTTAAGGAAATAGATTTAAGGAGGGTTTTTTTTTTCCTCTCTGAAAAGCAATCAGGATACAATAGTGTGTTTCCAAATGTGCGTTTTCTGGTAGTTCATATACAACAGTTAATTCTTTTTTTTTTTTACCTTCCCAGTAAGAATTTGCCTCAGGGTGGGGAATGCATGTGGCAAACGGGAGCGCCCACTCCTGTGCAGAGGTGGTTTCTGCTTGTTTTAGCTGTGGCCGATGGCTTCCATGGCAGACCAGTATTACTAGAACTTCCCTTTTTGTTTTTATTTTTTTTAATAGGTAAAACCTTTATTTCTTTTTTTTTTTTAAGTAAGCCTCTACGTCCAACGTGGGGCTTGAACTCATGACCCCAAGATTAGGACCCACAAGCTCCTCCAACTGAGCCAGCCAGGCGCCCTCAACAGTTAATTCTCGTTGCATCTTTTGTCTTACACTGAGCTAGTCTGGTGGGTGAGGCACACACTGAGTTTGCTGCCCCTTCCAGGAACAGGTCTCTTGCAGTACTGAATATCTGAAATGTTCACGCAGGGAAAGGTTATGAACTTATATGTGCCTTCCTAGGTTCTTTCGCTTTTTTGCATAAAGGGGAGAGAAGAAATGGAATATGCTGGATGGTCCTTTACTGCAGTGGGAATAATGTGTGTTTATTAGAGAAAGTTCAAAACGACAGCAGAGGGAAAATAGGGAGATATCACCTATCATTTCACTTCCCAGAATCAAAGGAATGGGCTTTCTCTTATTTTTCTTAATCTTTTTCTGTACATTAAATCTTTTTCTGTACACTACGATCCCAAAAGTGGGATCGTAGTGTTATGTATTTTTTTCCCTACTTAACAACATCATGAAAAATTCCTCGTAAGTGGTGCTGTTCTTAAGGCAGTGGCATTTTAACTTTATGTTCTCCTGGTGGTGAACATTTTGGTGTTCTCAATTTTCCTTAGTATAGGAAACACTGAAATGAGCTTTTTACACTCAAATCTTTGTGTGCGTATCTGTTTCCTTAAGCTAGAGTGAATGAGGGGATGGATGCTACCTTTTGAAAGGATCATAAAGCTGCAGTGAAACCTTGTAGCGAGGTTGTATCCGCGTAAATGGAGAGCTCAAGGCCACTTTTGATCAGAACGTTGGGGTCGGCCTCCACGCCCTGGACCTCCGTATTTGAGAGGGAGCTGGACCATCGGCGCGGGCCGTCCACACAAGGCTTGGTGTCTGCCCGCTTCTGAGAGCTCCCGAGGCCCGAGGTGGCCATAGCCACACATGCGGGTCTGAAGCTTGATGTTGTGTCTTTAAAAACCTGACAGGAGCAGACGCAGTTGCCACAGGTCACTACGCCAGAACCTCACTGGAGGATGAGGAAGTCTTTCAGCAGAAGCACATGAGGAGGCCAGAAGGGCTTTTCAGAAATCGATTTGAAGTCAGAAATGGTAAGTTAGAGCGCCCGGGTCAGACCTTCAGGATGGGTACACAGAGGAGACTGCTTTGGAGCGTGGCAGCGGGTCCTTGTCTGAGCGCGGCCGCCACGTCTGTGTCTTCCACACTGGCTGGCTGGTCTTGAAAACTACAGTTATCGGGAGCAGAGCCTGGCTGGAGCCAGGCTAGCACACTCTGCTAGCGACTCGAAGGTTCTTGTGCTATTGAGGACATATCTGTTGATAGTTGGAGGGCTCACAGGCCCTGTCGCTTACCGTCAGGCTCTTGAGGGCTCAACACTGAGGTGTGTGTACTTCAGTGTGACCCAGTCGCTGGAGCCTGACAGGCCTGCTGGAAGATGTGTTTACAGAGATTATGGGTATAAATCAGTTTATCGGCGTTAGAGGAAGTCAAGTTCCCCCTTTCTAGAAAAATGCCCAGCTGTCAGCAGGGAGGCTGCTGGCTTGTCCGGGGTACATTTGTGTGTAGAAGAGAGGAACTCACATCACTGTGAAGGGAGCTCAGAGCCACGTCTGAGCAAGAAATCTCCATTGTTGTGGGATCGCCGGAGGGTCAGCCTGCTGACCGCCCGCCTCACGGCCCCTGCCCCTCTCCCCTGAGCACGGCCATGACAGGCACGCGTTCCGCTTGGCCCCACTGGGCGTGGAGCTGGATGCGCTCGCCCCACTTCACAGGGGAGGGGGCTGAGGCGTGGAGTCATTTGACTGGGCTCCATGCGGCCACAGCGCTGGCTCTCAGCCCAGTTCGGCCCAGCTCCATAGTTGTGCCCTTTCTGCTGGGCCAGGCCCCAGTCGAGTTCTGTCCTCCGTGTCACCGAGCCTGGTCGTGCAGTCGTCTGCTGTGCTGCGGGGGCCCCGAGGGTGCTGCAGGCGCTCGGCTGCCCAGGTCAAGTCCCCACCCCTGTTTTCACAGCAGAGGGCGCTCAGATAACCTTCCTGCCTTGAGCACAGACAAGGACAGTGCTTGCTTGGTGGGAAGGTCTCCCTCTGCTGCCTGTGGGGCGCTGGGCCCTTAGCCGCCGGGCTTGCCGCCAGGGCCTCAGGGACAGATGCGGGGAGAGAGGACGGGTTTCCTCGGCCTCCCTCCGGGGTGCTCCTGGGAGCCGCCTCTCCCACTGCCGGGCACCGCTCTGCCGGCAAGCCTCTCCGTGTCAGGAAGGATGCGGAGTCCTGCCACTTGGGAACTCCGCGGCAGAATGCAAGGAAACACGGATTTAAGGGTCCTGAGTGGCTAAAGGATTTATTTCCATATTGAATAGACATGCTTATCTCCTAGAAAATGGTTTGCCTTCCAGAGCTCTCTGGACCTTTATGCTAGGCCAATAGGTGCTCTGAAACTTCTCTGATCACATTGACGGATGTTTTGTTGAGTCATTTGAATGTGTAGTTGTGGTAGGAATACAACAGTGTCGTTGTTTTCAGCATGTTTTCTAGGCACACGAGAGCTTTTTATTTAATTCTTATTTAGTTGCCCTAGAGACCTGGACTAGGGCCTCCTGGCCTGGGCCTGGGTCCCTGGCCAGAGGGCAGGCGGGGCAGCGCAGAGCCCGCCTGGGTTCGTCGGCGCTCCTGGGCCCTGGCCTGGCCGCCTAGTCAGGCTCACCCGTGTGAAGGGGGCGCGGCGCCAGCCTGACAGTGGACAGAGCTGTGAGGGTGTGTGAATGAAGCCCCTGAAGCGTGTTCCTTTCCATGGTTTAAGATTGCCGGCCTCCTGGGGCACCTGGTGGCTCAGTCGTTACGCATCTGCCTTCGGCTCAGGTCGTGGTCCCAGGGTCCTGGGATCGAGCCCCACATCGGGCTCCCTGCTCCGAGGGAAGCCTGCTTCTCCCTTTCCCACTCCCCTTTCTTGTGTTCCTGCTCTCGCTAACTGTGTCAAATAAATAAAATCTTTAAAAAAAAAAAAA